TTTAAACCTGTGTTTTGGTTCCGTGATGTTCCGTGTGAAGTTTTTTTTTGGTTTCTCGAAAAACAATCAGTTCACTTGGCAGGAAAGGAATCCACCGAATGTATGGTCTCCTAGTTTAGCCAAAACTGTTGATTGGTCAAATTTGTCCGAGGCCTTTTCCTGAAGGATTTCTCTAATGTAGACTGTAGACTCTTGATTTCTTGTACACATGAAGAGGTTCTTTTCAATCCATGTCTGGGGAGGTTTTTATATGTTTATTATGTTATGGATCAAGAGGTCTACATTCTTGTGTTCTGCAACTCCCAGAGTCATCATGGCTCGCTCGAGCGCCCCTGTTCGGAGCCACCGAGCCGCTGCGGAAGCCACGAGTTCCGCGTCGCGTTCTGCCGCGCGGTGCCGCTGCGCGGTTGGCTGCAGACGTGCTGTTTGGGGCTAGAGAAGCATCTCGAGACCGGAGATGTCTATAGTCAAGATCAAAGCAACTGTCATGACAATCGGTATTATCCTATAAACGCATGTTTGATGCCCCAGAGTTCCAGGCCGAGCTGCAAGGTTTCGTTCAGGATCCTCTTCCTGGGCACTACCGGCTTTAACTCGACACGTCACATCGAAGACAGGCTTAAACCTTCCATCCGCAGAGCTTGGTCACTACCAGCTGAAAACACGATCAAAGTGAGGCCCATAATCCATCCACTGGCACCTAGTATGTGACTTCGCAGTACACTTTAGCAATATAGACGAATACCGAATACCCCTTCAACAGCCAATCCCCACTCTTAGCTCGGAAGACGAACTCCATCCCCTCCCGTCCGGTCATGGCCCTCGTCCTATGCCGTTGGACACCTCGGCGCAACTCGGCGGATGTCGTTGGTCGTGAGTCCGTTTCGTCGCCGCAGGCGGCCGAACTTGGAGAGTTCGGCCCAGCCCAACCCCCCTATGGTTCTATCCAACAGGCACAGACACAAGACACATTTGAGCGAACGTGGGCGAAGATGTTGAAACACCTGGTTTCACCTCAAGGTTGATATGAATCAACATCTGTGCTTGTTTGAACATGCAGCTATATACATTGACAGGCTGTTTTGGTTGGAAACCAAGTTGGTTGTCCGCATGGAGGTTGTACATGTGAAATATTAAAGTTCGAGGGAGTATCCCTGGCTCAATGGATGAAACCATCTGCGATTTTGTCTGTCCAGAAATGGGAACTGGAAGCCGAACAGGATCGATGTGCAAACTTTCAGTCCTTTTTGGCCGTTTTGAGGCCTGGCTTTGGAAGGACGTGCTAGAGCTGTGACCTTGAGCCGAGCTGTATGCTTTTCAGGTGAAGCGATCACCATCACTTTGCCTGCGGGTGCTGGAGTCTTTCGAAAGAAGATATTTGGATGAAGTATGATGAAGTCTTTGGATGGATTTGATGTTCCATGTCATCGCCATGTGAATGAACCCTTGTCACTCCTCCAGCTGTCCAAGGACTTTGGTCAATCAGTACTCAGATCATATCCATCCTATCAGACATGGGGATTCTCTAACCTTAAGCAAGAGGGGGCGCACCATTCGTTGGGCTGTTTTTCCTTTGACGTTCTCTTTTTTGGAGTGGCAATCTTCGGTCCAGTCGCCCCAGCGTGAACGACGCGTCGGGTGGGGTGGAAGACACGCTGAGCCGTTCCATCAGTTCTTCACCCAAAGGGCCTCGCTGAGCTTCAGCATCAGCTTGTCTTCAGCCAAGGCATCCCGTCCTGTCAGCTTTTGGTTTAAATACCACATCGTGCAACCGCCTGGCCTGGGGCCTGGGGTTGCAGCTTGGCAAGATGATCCTTTCGTTGGCTGTAACTCTCTCTCTCTCTATATATATAACTAGTGTCAAAGCTATCATGGGTCTCGGTGAAACCTAGACCTCCCAAAACCACAGCAGCCGAACATCCCTTTTGGGGTATCCTTTTCCTGTGAGAAACTCGACAGCTTCCAACAAGGTGCAGCACCTGAGCCACCCACAAAATCCCGAACATCTTTCAGCTTTGAGGAGTTTTCACTGCAGTTGTGATCCACTATTGCTGCCGCGCGCGCAGGACGGACTTGGGGCGAGCCCTTCGCACCTTTGCAGGAGCGAGGACCTAAGACCCAAGGCTTCACAGCACCATTGATCTGTAGGGGATACAGCTGGGTGTGTTTCATGACCAGTAGCAGTCGGTAAAAGAGAACTTTTCTATTTTTGAGAAAGGCCTGCAACCTGACCATCAAGGAATCATCATCCAGTTTTTACTGGTAATGGGGTGTACCCGAAGCAGATATAGCCTTAATTCCCGAGCAACCATGTTTTAGACAAGTTACAGAACCAGGTCAACCGAACTCTTTTCATGGTCGAACGGAAGGCTAGTGAAGACCCTCTTTGGGCAGAGGCTCTGGAGCGATTCCTTTGGGCAATGGATGGATCTGAGGATTGGTTTGGTATGGACAAAGTGGATGACGTTCATCTCAGGGTAGAGCCACAGCCAGCGTCTAGGGTGGTCCAAGGAGAAGACTTGCTTCCGTATCCTAAGACTTGTTGCGTGGAAGATCAATGACGGTCAGGCAGGAGCTCTGCACACATGACCACTCCCTCGAGCCGAAAGCGCAAGAACCGGCCATGTAAACGGACCCAAGAAGCACCGTTGTGCTGAGAGTCCTGTGGGTATCTGTTGACCCCGGTCGCAATTGTATCAAGTGATGATGTGAAGAGGTTCACAGCTTCTCTTTTCTTCTCTTTTGGGTCTTTGGACAGGCCCTTGGGCGCATGGTCGTCTGACAGATTCTGACAGGTCTTCCATCAGTTCACCAACCGGATTCTGTTTTTGCTTAAGGTGATGCTCAATTTCCTCCGGTCAATCATGATGAATCTCCTTTCTGGGGAAAGTTATATATATATACTTCGAAATACATGTTTTCGTCTTTTTAGATCTATTGTGCTTATTGTTATTGTATGTTATTATGTTTTTTTTTTCAATTCTATGTATTTAAGTATTTGCTTATTTATTTATGTATTTTATTTGTTTGACACATAATTGTTTCCTATCATTTCCGGTTCTCCCTGTCTCAGAGGGTCGATGGTGGCACAGTTTCCTCTGTCCATGCCGTCGCATGGCTCTGGAGCCAGGAGACAGTGAGCATCCAGCATTTGGTGACCACAAAAACCAGACCAACAGAGGTTGAGTGACCTGAGCTAGGACTCTACTGGGGTATCTAAAGGATAGTCTAATAGGGTTTTTCAACCGCTGCTGGTATTGCAAATTCTTATCACGTATCACCTATAAAGACCCGCAAACCCATACAAACACATACAAACCCAATCTCCAACAACCAGCTTCACCCCAAACCTCCACCATGAAAACCCTCCAATCTTCGTGTTTTCCGGCGTCCCAAAGTCCTTTTCGTCCCCCCCAAAAAAACCAGGCTTCGCGGCTTCGCCTGTCCTTCGGCCCAGGCCGGACCCCCCCGACGGATCCCACCTGGGACGAGGCTCCATCGGAGACGAGGCGCGTTCGCTCCGTCCTGCGGAGCGGCTGCAGAGCGGAGAGAGCGGAGCTGCGCTGGAGCGTTCTGCGCCCCCCCCAAAACGGCGGGCCTTTTTTGGTGTGTTCGTTCGTTCTATACGTCATGAGGTGGTGTTTCAAAAGTGGGTTTCAGCAGAAAAGATAAAACAGGTGGCGAGACATGGGCGAAGACTTCGTGAAACTCCCCCACATGGAGTTCAAAAGATCGAACCGAATCAGCCGAAAAAATCGGGACAGGGAGCAGGGCAGTTCTGGGAGCAGTGGCTTTTGTTGGCGGTTCTGCGAGTGCATTCGTAGGTCCGTGGAGCTTTGAAGGAGCTGGGGACCGTTGGGAGCCCCATCGAGAGATGGGAGCAGATGCAGGACCCAGATCGAACCAGTGATCGGTGGTTTCTCATGGCGCCATATGGTTTGTTCCATGTGATAGAGATGAATCTGGTATCTATATGATGCAATATGGATAGTTGCAGGCTGAAGGAGCTATGGAAAGAGAGTGTAGTGCACTAGGCTTTGGGTGGCAAGATTGCTCTTTTCGGTGCACTTTTTGCATCGTCTGCAAGGAAAACAATCCCCATCCCATCCCTTCATGTCCAGAATATCTTGATAGAGTCACTTGAATTGGGTGATTTTTTCTCACAGACCATCACATCCCATGTCGAAAAACACCGATTTCTTAGAACACCCTGCAGATTTGAGATTTTTTGAAAGAGGCAAGCTTAAAGGTCTGAAAGCTGGCCACTTGTCTGGCCAGACGATCTGTAAGACACTGAGCTTGGGTCTGCCAGTGCCAGCAGAACCCCCATCGATCCCTGGAGAGTCGGACGTTTTGGGCACCGGGTGTTTCAACGCAGCATAGTTCCGGCCCATGGAAGAGCCAAGCCAATGATGCTAAGATGAAGGACAACAACATGTGGACCAATGGACGCATGGCGACAGTTGTAAGCATGTAGCACAATGTCACATCCTTCATTTTTCTAATGGTCCATGTTTTGTAGTCCTCTATCCGACTCGATCCAAGCAAAGCTGCAACTTGGCGCAACCAGCCGTCAAAGACCATGAAGCAAAGGCCCGCATCCATGATCAACACGACATGACCACAGCTCGCCCTGCTGTGGTGCCCTGCTGAATCATAGCCTGAGCTCTCCAACTGGAATTGTCAGCTTAACAAGCTTCCCTGTCCACAGCAAACAAGGTTCTTGCCTTTTTCATTGGTGCACCCATGAAAGATTCCACCACGAAATTCGGAGACTGTTCATCTAAACAGACCTCCTTCAACCCAAACATCGCTATTGGAGGGGTTGGTTTCATGAAATCTATGAAGTAGAGCCCTTCAGATCCAGATTTCTGAGACTCTTAGTCCAATCCGCCGGTCTAAGACCTTCAGGTTCCACCCCCCTAAAACTGGGCCGAACCCCTAAAACCGGGCCTCGCAAAAACATACAGAAACGTCACAACTCCAAAAGCTCCACTCGTCCCTTCTCCCGCTCCCCACACCTGCCACCACCGCTTTTTCCCCGAAAAAATACCGCCACGAAAAGCACCGCGATGGGCGCCCTTGGCCGACCGCCATGCGGACGCACGACGCGAAGAACGGCGTGGCGGCCACGACTCTCGCGGTGGAGTCGAAGGAGTCAAAGGAGTCGAAGCGCCGCGAGGGGAAGCGGAAGCGGAAGCGCTCTTCCTCGAGCTCACAACAGCGGGTGGTGGTGGCGGAAGAGTCGCAACTGGTGAGGGAGAAGGTAGGGGAGGAGAGATGAAAAGAGATGAGAAGAGATGAGAGGTTTGAGATTGTAGACCTTTGTCAGGAATGGGACGTCTAAGACTCGTCGGGTTCTTTTTTAGAGATGGTGGGATCTTCGTTGCAGGGCTGTTTGAATTCGCTGACATTCAGTCAGTGTTTTTCTTTGGAAGAGTTTGAAACAATATTGTGTTCATTGCAGGAGCTGGAACACATGGCAAGAAAGACGCTTCAGCTGGAAAACGGTGAAGTCATCGTCTTCCGCTCCAGCTGGTCACGTCACGCCCAAACCATGCAGACGTCACGTCCGTCTTCCGCATCCGCCTGGTCACTCCGGTCGCACCGTCAGCACCGTGCTCCCGGCAGGTGGATGGCTATGTGCGCGGCATGGAGGATCCTGAACAGGGTGACCATTCGGTCTCCAAGACTGCCACCTTCGTCCGCCACTTCGACTCTGAACGAGCGTTCGGTCGCGGGTTGAACGAGCGGACTTGGCATGGGTGGTGGGGCAGGTGCAGATGGGTTTGTGGGCACACCTGATCTTCTTCAGATGGGGTCAGGTCATGATCTTGGAGGATTGGGAAGGCCAGTTGGATGATGCACCCCCTACACAACCGCGAGATTGCCAAAACGCCAGGGACGGTGTCCATGGCCACTGCTCAAGCGGCTTTGTTGCCAGTGATGATGGGACCAGCACTTGAGAAGAATTCACAATGTACGTATCCGGTGAACTAATAACATCATGTAAGGTCATGCTGTGACACATGTCTTCTGCAGGTATCCAAAAACTTGTTCACTTTGGCCGTCTCCCAGTTTCAACTCTCCCAAACCAGCGAGTTTTGACGTCTAAAGTGGAAAACTTCCACCAGAGGAAAGCGCTGTCCAGCGGATGGTGGCAGTGATTCACGTGTGATCTTGAGTGCTACACTGCTATCATCAAATATTCATCAAATGTCCTTATTGTAGTGGTATATATACAAATTTAAACTCATGATCTTGACAAAACACTACGAGCTAGACACTGGCCAGTCTTCCCTCTTTCCACCCACTCCGCCGGATGGACCGGCTGTCGCTTCCCTCAGGCACCGGTGCTCCCATTCAGTCCGACCGGCGGATGAACTTCGTGTGGGTGGTGAAAGCGGGGGCCGAGAAAGGGAAATCGAAGTATACCTTCGATCCAGGCACGGAGGGTTATCACTTCGCGTGGCGCCAAGAAGTCAGACGCGTGGCTAGTTGCTAGTTGACAGACTGGCGGACGTGATTGCGTTGACGTGACAGAAAGCGTGACATTGCGTGACATCAGCTGCCCAGAAAGGGCCAGGAGTGTTCGGTCTTGGCTAGTTGACACCAAAAATCATGGGAAGAAAGCCCTTGTTCTTGTTCACAACACCATCAGCTGTCGAATCTGACTTCATTATGGCGTAATTATATCTTTTTTTCCCAACCTCCACCCGCCGGTCTGCCCGCCGGTCCGCCGGTCCGGCGTCCCCCCCCAACCTCCCTCTCTCGGCCTCTCCGCAGATTCGGCCTACATCGATCCCCGCGACAAAGAGCGGGTGAGCCGCGACAAGCTGCGCTGCGACGTGTGCGGCAACTTGCTGCGGCGGCCCTACCGCGTGCGCTGCTACGCGCGGCGGAGCCCAAAGGATCCACCCGAGCAGAAGGTCGAAAGAACCATGCAGGTGGGGTGGGGGAGGGTTTCGGCGGGAAGGAAGCTGGAGGTGAGAGCTGCATATATGGCTGGCATGGAACATCCTGCTTTGAAAGACAGCCGTTTCGCCTTGCAGCTATGGAGTACTGAGTACTGTATGTCAGTTGCTTCCTCAGGCAGTCATCAGTTGGCTTCAAGCATCCTTTTCCAGCCACCACCGCCTCTTGAACAACAATTCACCACGTTCTTTCATTGACGTGTCCGGAGTTCTCGACTCTCTCATCCGATTTGTTCGGAACATCGTTCTGCGCATCGAGAGATTCTGCGCAGGCGGAGATCTATTTGGTGGGACATCGCTGCATGAAGGGATTACTGGGTGTGCCAGGGCAGCGCCTTGGTTGGGAGATGTTCGGCCATGAAAACCGCTGAAGAACTGAAGAACAGATTCACGGCAGGAGACCTTCCGGACGGTTCATCCGACGTCCATCTTTAGATGCATCATCTCTCAAGTCGGAGCATCACCAAAGCATCCCCCCACATGAATTGTGGAGCATCACACGCACCACCACACATTTGGTTGGCTCCAAGCTCCAAGTTCATGGCAGGTTGATACTATAGTATTAGAGTAGCTCTTCCCAGTACAAACACGACAATCTCCAAGAGAAAACAGGTTTGGACTTTGGACATTGGAAAGTACACGATCGCCCTACCATCGTTGCACCACCTTTGTTGCACTCATCTCTGGCCTTCGTTTCACGGCAGAACGGATGACCTCCGTTGATCTCGTTCGAAGAACCAACGACCAACGAACGTCGACCGGACCAACGACAGTCCTCCGTCCCCCGTGCGGAGGCGATGCCTTCCTCGCAGCAAGCTGCGGCTTGATATTCGCCGCCTGGGCAGAAGGGGTCGATCGGGGGGGGTTACGCAGGAGAACCACCGGTGCCACGGTGAGCCGGTGGAGAAGAACCACGGTGGTTTTCCAACAGCAAAATGGGGTGGTGGCGGATTTGTTATTGAAACATCCAAAAGCATGCGACTGTCGATGCAACTGTCAAAGGATGAAACATGATGAAAGCCTACAGTTCAACTTCTTTCTCTGGCTTTCCGGGGTCGCCCCCAATGATAGCCTTGCCAGAGCACCAGCCCAGACTTGCGACGGTGCTAGACTCTACTAGTATCGCAGGGGTAGGTGAGCTGTTTTTGTTTGACACACTTGTCTATCTTGTGAATGTTCGTCTAGCGTGAGGCGTGACCATAGTTGACTGGTGACATGACCATACTTGATTCAAGCTCTTGATTTACCTACTTGTCAGGCAATTATCTGGCGTAGTTGGGAAGATGAGCTGTCCCCTGCCAGGGTGTCTTCTAACAGTTTCTCTACAGTTTCTATATGTGGGTCCCCAAGTACTGCAGAATCATCGGAGAAGGATCTCTGCATCGAACCTCGCAGCTCGCCCAAGGCAAGTCCTTGCTGAATGGCACCATCTTCCAGATGGACGAGATACCGACGGCAGATGCAAATGGAGAAGTCAAGGAGTACAAACAGACGGAGGTTATTGAAGCACTGCACTTTGGCTTTACTTTAAGGAGGTTTTTGAGGAAACACATGCCTCTACTTGAATGCCAACAGTTGTTTGTCCCTGTTTTGGGAGCCTTTTTGTGTGGCTTCAACTGACAGTATTTAGTATTGAGTATCAGTTTAGATAGCAAGAGGAACTTCACAAAACGACAATGAAGTGTTGATCTATTCGTGTTCATTTTCTCACAGAAACAGCTGTCCTGATGTTGGGTGAAAGACATCTTGACGTGCTGACGTGAAGAGTGAAATACCAAGTATTGACCAACAGCAGTAGCCACACCAGAACAACCGTCACGTGGCAGCTTTTTTTCCATAGGTTCTTTCTTCACAACTTTCGGCTGGCTGGCAAAACGTATCATCCATCGACCGAAAGTGGAGGGCAGTCCTGGCAATGCCCAGTGGTTTGAGCACGAGTGGTTTGAGCACCAATCAAAACAAGCCGAACGGCCTTGAAGAGACAGAAGCTCAAACCGAACAGCCTTGGATTGAACGACTCTGCTGTGCACCGAACGCGTCGGAGGCATCTGTGCTCAGCTCCTTCCATGGTCCTATAGGTCCTCGAGGTCCACTTCTGAGACCATTTGGAGGGGGGTCAAAAACCTGGAGAGCTGGTCCACCATGTAGGGAAAGACCTTCACATCCTTCACCGTCATTGATTGGCCTCCTGGTGCCATGGCTCCGCCCACAGCAGCCCACCACAGCCACCTAGGCAAGCTGAGTTGAACAAGCTCATCTCGGAATGCGCCGGCCCAGATGCTGCCTGGCGCCAGATTTCTTCGACCCCACGAGAGGTCGGGGTTCGCTCCGGCGCCAACTGCCGAGCCTTTGAGCAGAGGCCGGTCGGGTGAAAAGCAGGAGGCAGGTGGCAGGTGGCAGAAGTTGATTCTAGGGCTGTTTTTTTGAGGGCCTTGTTGATAGATGTGTAGATAGTCATGATGCCAATACAGGTCCAAAGGGGATTTACCTTTGCAGATCCGAATTCTGGGGCAGCAAGGCCCAGCAACGTGTGGCTAGATCTGCGACATCTGATCTGAACTCTGGCCAATGCACCTTAGAGGTTGAAAAGCCTGTGGCTTTTCGGCCAGAGAGACCCATTGGCTAAGATATTGAGGGACCATCAGGGCATATCACGGCCAAAGGTATGCAACCAGCACTTCTGTTTTGCAGTTAGATGAGAGCCTTCAACTATACCTTGCCCCATTGCGTCCTACTTATTAAACTTATTGTCAATATTCTGGAACACGACAGCAGAATCATAAGCTATACGGTTATCCATCAGATTGGTCTGGTCTGGTTGAAGCACATTTTCTGGTGCTTCCACCATGCACAGAGCCCTGAAAAGGCCTTACAACGAGGAGGAGGCGCAGACCGAAGATGAAGGCGCCACCGTGAAACCGCCGACGAGGCGAAAGCGGAAGCCCAAGGAGGTGAAGGAGAAGGAATCGAAGGAGAAACCCGAGAAGCTTGGTGCTCCAAGTGACGACCTGAAAGACGGGGCAGGGACCATAGGGTGAGGTCTGGATGACCTGAAGAGAAGAACCTGTGATGCGGGAAAGAGATGGTGAGGGGGTTGTAAGCAAAGCCGGAGGGACCATTGGTGCACAAGATTCAACTACATAGTCCAATCAATGAAGTTGTGGTTCTTCAGAATGTGGTGGGATTGGGAGATATGACACCCTTCAAAGCAAGGATTGCATATGTATGATTAATGGTTACTTTGTTTATGGGCATGTTGATCTATATAACTACACCCATCCAGAGGGTCCACAGCCCTTGCCATCTCCACCTTGCCATCTCCACCTCTTTCTTTCCACCGAAAGCGGGCGCTCCGGTTTGAAGTTGACGAAGCCAAGAGCTCTTGAGACACTTTCGGCTCTTGGGTTTTTATACGAAGTTCCACGTGGGCTCAACTCAGGTATGATGGGGAATTGGTCGTGGGCAAATACTGTCAAATAGGCTATGGCATGCTATGGCCATGATCCAGTTGGGTTTCTTTGCTCAGACCTTGCAGCAAACCTTCGAACATATGCCCTTGTAAACCCATTTCCAGCCACTGAAACGAATGTCTGAAACCAACCGCCCTGCTTCGGATCAGGGAACTGCTTTCGTCCCTCCATCTGGGACGCTTTTTCTCCACCCACGTCGGATGTCACCTGTGATCAGGAACGACAAACAAGCTGAACCAGAGGAAGAGGTCGAGGACTGACGGTTGGTGGGCAACATTTGGTCAATTAATAGATGATATGCCATACAGATCTTCCATATTTTGTCCATTCACGTTGAGGGCTTGGGGAACAACCCTGTAGTTGTTGTCCCGATATTGAGTTCTGGTGGCGCACAGAGGCCCTCACTGGGCCATCGTTGCAGGGTCGGGGCAGGTCCCAACATAAATCAACATGCTCGACTCTGACCATGTGCACATCGATATAGGGTTCATGCACAGAATCCTATCCTTTCAAGCACATCTTTACCCTGCCCGTTCTCTTGCCACATTCTGTAGGGTAGCTCTCAAAGCATGATTAGCACAACTTGAGTTTGCTAAACTCCCGAGCTCAAGAACATGTCGCACTGGAGCAACAAAATACAAACTCCCCCATCTTTCCACCTCGGTTTATATAAGGCATAAGGCAGATGGACCAGCAACTCTATCAGATCACCTCATGTTTGCACTCCCTTGTGGCAAATCATTACCTGATCCCTAGTAGGATGAAGGTTTCGTGGTCGGCGAGCGGAACTCAGATGGCCATAATGGCCGATGATGGCCCAAACCTGCCAAAGACAGACTGGCGGGTTTAGATTTTTGTCGGCGTGACTCCCCATAAAGATCCACATATAATCAACATTAATCAAATATACACCAGGAGAAATTCTATTGGATTTAATTAATCAATTTGCCGGATTCATCTCCACCATCTATCTTCACAAGCACAAGAGAGGCAGCTGTGACTCCTGCACCTTGGCCTGCCTCCACAGGAGCGGATCCTTCCGGAGCCTCCAAAGCCCGGGCGGTTCTCGAAAAAGTATCGGACCATGCTGCCCAAGGCAGGGGTGATGAGTTCTTGGACCCAAATCCCCCTATGGTAAAATCGCAGTGGCTTGAAGAATGACCCCAGAAACCTCTATTTAGCACTTCCAAGGGCTGTCCAGTGTAGGGGTGTCTTATTGGTGACCCAGATCGTAGGTTTCGGTTGAAGTCAATTTTCATCAATTTGCCATGGCTTTTGGATGGCACCACATTTTGGAGCCATAGCCAACTCCTACAAACATGTTGGGTGGAGAACGAGTCAGAGACACGCCAAGATCTGTGATGTCCGCTTCGATCTTGTGACTGCTACGACAACAAGATGTTTGAGCCATTGCAAAGCTCCAAAGCCTCCGAACAACTTGTGGGACTTTTGGGACCCTGAAACACTCAGAAGATTGTGCCATTTTGAGTAGCCACTTTTTGTGAGCCTCAAAGCAGCAGAAATCAATGGTCATCCTGTGACCGGGCCGGCTGGATGTGGTACTGTATCCTTGATGTCCTCTCCATCGATTCGCTCTCGACTTTATCATCAGGTGGCGGAGACCATCAACGAGCTGGATGCCCCACACAAGATCTATGCCGCTGGGTGATGACGGCCAGAATCATATAGGGATGCTGGGGTTTGAGACACCATGCTCACCATGGGCAGTTGTTGGTGTGTTGTGAACTAGGGCTTGCCGTTTCGAACTAGGGCTTGCCCGTTTCGAGCTGATTGAACCTATATAAAGGGATTCCCACTTGCGGTGAGTCGACCTATTTGCGGGGAATGCATGGGAATCCAGAAACCAAGCCTGCAGGCTCGCTCTTTGGATTTGATCCTTGCCGTCCGCCATGTTTTCAAGCAATAGCCAAATGTCGGTGGTCAAAGCACCATTCTTTGGACTTTGAGTAATCAATTGGGAATGCTCACACATCCTCCCGTTTTACAACCTGTCCTCGCGCGCGTGTGCTGGAATACCGTGGGGGGTATCCAATTGTGACACATAACTTCAAAAAACTTCAAAAACCCATGGGCAGGAGGGACCGCCGAGACTGGACACATGGTCAGGGTTGTTTTGTGTTAACGTATTTGTTTTCGGCTGGCAGAATGGGATCTGGGGTCCAAGAGCTTTTTGTAAGGCAAACGTGCCAAAGTTTGTGGATCATATTCTTGATTCAACCAGACTGAAGGTCATATAGTTATATACAACCACCCGTCTTGGGGGGTGAAGTTTGGTCAGATCTGCACACCAAAACTACGCCGCGAGTCAATCTGTAAACCATGAACTTCTTGATTACTGTAGTTCAAAGATGTTGCTAGGCATCTTCGCGCAGCTTCGGTCCAGCACCCACCGCTGCCATGTCCCTGCAGCCTTGAACAAGTGGTTAAGCTTTGCGGAGCCAGTTGTGGCATGGCAAGCTGCCACAGGAACCAGATTGTTGGCTTGGTGTCCCGTGCTCTTCATGTTTCTATCAAGAAACGTGTTGAATTTGGCGCAGGTCTGCAGCTTAGGGCATTGGCTTCGGCCGGTTGGCGCCAAAAGAAGCCAATTCCCGCTCAGCTTAGTACTATTTCAAGGCTTAAACTGATTGAGAACATTCAGCCCCCGCAGACTGTGCAGAGTGACGTTCTGAAAAGAGCTCTTGAAGTAGCGACCATATACAAGACATATGAGGGCAAAGAAACTGGGTGCATACTTCTTCTGGTAAATCCATCTGACCTTGATGAAGACCGCGTGATGCCGCTCTCATGCAACCTTTCCAGCATGGTTGGACACAACCTGTCTGACGACTGGATCGAAGCTGATTTGCGAAAATCCTTTTCGCGGGACGGGTGGATGGTGATTGATGGCAAGACGTCCGAGATCTTGGCGGCAAATTCGCAGGTTGCTGTGCGGAAACAAGCCGGGTTTGTACTGGAGAGCCATGGTACTCGGCACTTTAACGCACTTCAGATTGCTGCAGAATTGGAGTGCATTGTCGTGACTCGCTCGCAAGATGGGTATGTGACAGTTTTCTCCTCCAATGAGATCAAGAAAAACGAGAGTGCCAGGTGCTTCCGTATTCGAGATGCTGCTGATGATGACTCTGCTTCTGATGATCAACAGATTCAACTTCAAAGAGGTCCTGCAAAAGAATCGACTTCAAAGAGCGATACATTTTTCGACAGAATCCTTACTTGGGTTTGTGGTATTGTGGGCACAATAGGTTTTGCGCGAGCCTGGAAGAAGGCAAAAGAACGTCAGGGGAAGTTGCAGGTGGAACTTCTGGAGGAACGTGTGCGTAAGAAGCAGCATTTAGAGGATCTCAAGACGCTCCTCTTGCATTGTTTGCAGACATTGGAGGAGGGCCAGGATGTGAAGGAACTTCTGGAGGGTGTTTGCCAGCTGACGGATCAAGAGTTGAGCACGCTGGTGATCCAGCTGAAGGCTGAGTTTCCATCTCAGGCTTTGGACGTTTCAAAGCTTGCCTACTTAGCTATGTTCAACACCCAGTCATTGTTCCAGCGCTGAAGGCCTGGCCGCTGAGAGAACCAAATCAGGCGAATCAAGCACTGCTGCCTTGTTGGATTTTTCCGATCATGATATTATGTTGACGTGGATTGTAAACTAGCATCTTCCATCATTTGTAGATCCCAGGCAGCCAAACAATCTTTGCTCTCAAGGAGATACTGTAGGTAGAGAGTCGAAATCTTTTCCTTGGCAGGTCATGCATTTTGCTTCAACAAAGCGGATTCCCAACAAAAAAGGAAGAATCAAAAGACGCACATTGAGAACATTGAGCCCATTCAAACACTGTTGATCGGAGAAAGAATTGGTATTCAATCCACTATCAATCCACAGTACATTCAAGATTCCTCCTCCGGGATTCCTTGTCCAGGATTCCCGCTTCACGCGTCTGAGAGTCCACCGGGCAGTGGGTTCCCCACGACCGACTGGAGGCCAAGTGTCTGCCGGGCTTCACACGGCCGCCCTACGTGGTGGTGATCCCAACCTATGGCCGTCCAGACCGGCTGGTGAACGAGACACTGGCCTTCCTTCGACGACAGAGACCTGGCACAAACACATGTTTGGCCGAAAAGAACGGCGACAAGGTCATACAGTACCCCGTGAAGGTTCTGGACACTATGCGTCTTGTTTGAAACAGAGGTGTACATCAAACTCTGTTTTGGGGTCTTAGCATTTGGTGAAACAACAGACACCCAGTGCCACCCAGGCACACACTGCTTCGACCCAGTCGGACCTATGCTGAGGAAGATTCCTCAGAACCTCATTGAGATCTGGCTTGCGCCGGGCTGCGCGCCGGGGCAGACCCTATCCGAGAGGGAGAGACACTTGGCATTTGCTGAGCAGATGACTTTGCTCAGGACCAGCATGAACCAGTTGGTTTTGCGTGTTGCCAAAGGAAATCAAGTGAACCCAGGATTTCTGCGCTGTGCAGCACAAAGATTTGGTGTTTTGTGTTCCTGCTTTGCACTGTTTGTGTCCCCGTTTGTGTCAGGGTTCCAAAAGGAGACCTGGGATAAGCGAAGTGATTTTGGTGATGTGTTCTCCATGTTTTACTGTCACGGAAGTTGGTAGCATGCTCTGCACAGGCGTCCTGAAAGTCCCAAGTTTATTGCGAACAGACGCGATTTTGAAGAGCCTTTCCCTCTGCGACATCTATCAAGATCAAGATGGGGAGCAACAAACATTGCATGACATTACAGAGCCGGATAATCCATGTTTTTGATCAGATCCCAGAAGATCGGATCAGGATACGAAAAGGTGCTGAAGGAGGACTGGAAGGACGTGCACATCAAGATCGGGGTGAAAGGCACGTGGACTCCTCGCGTGGACTCCACTCGACTCCGCTTGCTGTCGACGAGCAACTTCTTGGAACAGCTGTGTCAGACGATTTTGGGAGGTGATGGTGTGTAGGGTGGGTCGGCTGAAAATGCGTCCCAGCATCTTCAGTTCTTCTGTTCTTGCGTCCAGGGTCACCTCCCTGCCCTCTGAGATGACCCGATCGGAAGGGATGCGAGACGTGCCAAAGGATTGACAAAACAAGAATGGTCCACACCACATTTCCGATGCCGATGTTCTTTGTTTGGACACATAGCAATCTTGAACCTTGCTGTAACAAAAATGCCAACCAGCTGCGATCCAGAACAGTCAAAAGCTGAGCCGGAACTGTCAACTATGAAAAATGTGAAGAGCTGCTGTTCCGGTTGTTCAACTCCACACGGGCGATCCGATCGGCCCAACATTTCGTAGCTCACATCGTCAGGGGTGATGGAGCAGCGATGGCGCATTGGCACCTTGGCCTCAGCACGGTGAAGGGCTTTCCAAGAGATCAGCCCCTGGAAACACTCAAAAGCAACCATATGAAGCACTTCCAATTTGGGACAGATTCAAAAGAAAATGACTGTTCGCTGGCTCTTATCAGAGCCACTTGGTTCACTTCTAGGGCTTCAGAAGTTTCGGAGCTTTCACAGAATCGTTGGAGCTGTGATCTGACTGGAGGTGGCAGAGGATGTACTGTAGAGCTGATCAAGATTTCAAGAGTTTCTTCCGGAAATAGGTGTCCAAGTTTTGGATGACAGGAGATTCATAGGATGCCAGGTGTTGACATCGAACACGCAACGGCCAAAGGATGCCATCCGACTAGGCCATCCGATGATTCATCCGATGATCATGCCTGCGTTGCTTGAGGTTTGTCCCATCCGGAAGGGACACACATCGTGTCCTTTGACGATGACATCCCTGAGGTCTTCGAAAAAGTCCGGCCAGGAGCTGGTCTGGTTCGTCCGACCACGTGCTGCGGTGATTTGTGGGTTGCGTCGACCACGGCTAGGCGAAAGAAAAGCAAACAAGATGGAACACGGATCTGTATGGACACAACATGACACAGCTCTCCAAGTGATTCATGTCAAGGGAACAACATGGAGCAGCTATAACAAGTGCATCAACGTCCACCTTCTTCGCACCTCCTTATCCACCCTTACTTATCCACACCACCTTTCAGCGCCAGGAACGTCCTCCGACACGATGCAGCCCTTGCCCAACGGGAGCTTGGAAGCCATCATCCACCACGCGAGGGACCTGATGCATCAGGAAGGCTGTTACATCTGGGGCTTAGCCACCTGGAAGCAGCTGCGAAGCAACCGCCCGAAACACCAACGTCGGTGGAGCCATCGGCAGACCATCGGCAGCTAACCATGGATGTGTTCCCATGATTTCCCTTGATCTATAGTAGGATGTGTTGCAGGTGAAAACAATGAAAACACCTTCAGATGGTTGGCAACGTGGCAGGTTTTCAGAACTATTCCCTAGCAATCCCTAGCAGATATAGTCCTGCGGTGGTCATGGGAATGGACTTGTAGAGGAATCGAGAGGAATATGGTCTCAAATAATGTCTCCTACAAGACGGGGTCCCTAGTTGCTTTCCACTTTGTATTCTCTTCGACCTTGGTCAAACATATGCGCAGCTTGTGAATTTGATGAAGGCCGAGTGATTTTCCTCGTTCCTTTGTTCCTACTCCAAAAGTCTCAGTTTCACGCAAGTCCTGACTTCACTTCGGTGAAAACCGGTGGCCTCCCTCAAAATCACTCGAGCGAGCAACAGGTCTCGTGCCCAGAAGAGGATCGGCCTTTCTCACCGCTTTAGTGGTCATCGGTCATCATTCATCTAGTCTATAAGATAATCAGGAAGTGTATATCCCCTATAGATCCCTATAGAGAATCCTCTATCAGCGTCACATTGCGCTTCCACATGCTCACCCTCACCCAGCCGCTCCGCTCACCGCGGCCCCCCCCCACACATGAACCCCGCCATACCCGCAGACCGCGCGCAGACGCGCGCAGACGCGCGCAGACGCGCGCACGAACGAGGCCCCTTCGGCCAATCCCATGAACTTGGTGGTGAATCGCATTTCCCGGCGGAATGGCCTCTCGTCGAGGAATGGCATTTTTGGTGATTGTGAAGGCCTGATTGTAGCGTGAGCCGAGCATCCAGGAGTCTATCTTGCTAGGATTCCAAGCACCATAGCATACCATAACCATTGTCTTACTGAAGAGTTTGCATGACAAGACCAGATCAACCATGTTTTTTCTTTTTAAAGGGACTGGGCACCTACCTTGACGAGACACTCCACCCGCACCTACCAGCAGTTGCTCCACCCATCGAAGACGCCTTTTTTTGGTCCAGAGATGTTCCGACCGCCGGGAGATGGAACACCGCAACCGAGCGACGGAATCATAAGGCATGGTGAATGGCTTTGCCTATGGCTACCTGAATCGCCATGACGAGCGCTTCATGAGTATCTATTGTTCGCCCACCGAGGATGGACGATGCCTTGGGCATGAAGATTGGAAGAATGACACCAAACACCCCTGGGACAGAAAGGTTTTATATCCCTATTGGCACATCCTTGAAGTCTGAGCTGGTATCTATGTCCAACAGTAGCTCCGAAGCACTCAGACACCAAAGGTCACCTGCCAGTCATCCTTTTGGGGCGCCATTCACTTCGACGATTCTTTCAGGGAGTGTACATGTCAAAGCTGCCTCACCCGGTCGATCATGGGGTCTTCCATCAGCGAGTCGCACCTGCCTTTGAATCCCGTTTTTTTCCGAATCCCAGACATGTGCCAGTACATGCTAATTCACTGCTGCTATTTTGCATTTTTTAAAACTCCCGCGGGTTGCTAAAGGTTGAAGTTGTTGAAGAAGCATTCATCATACACTTGCAGTTTTGTTTGTCATGCGTGGCTTGACATGGTTTGATCAATCCTTTCTCACTCGTCTTATGCTCCTTTGGGAGGACGTGGAACGCAGTTGTCGCTTCTATGAGAGTGACACAGCGCCTCGTCTTGCAACGCAGCGTTCTTTTTCGAAGGACTCAAACCACCCATTCTCCTCGGTGGAAGATGCTTTGAGGCAGCCTCAGCTGGTCCCAGTGCCTTCAGCTTGTTTTTCTTTCCCGCAGGATCTCAACGCTTCCGAAAAAAAGGACTGGAACACTGGTGAGAAGACATCATGTACGGCAAAACCAGCCGAACTCCAGCCGACTTGGGGAGGCCAAACTCGACGAAGGATGTGCGGGGTAAGACACCCACCCGAGACCGACATGAGTCGATGGATGGACACATGAGGTAGTTGGATGGTGTTTTTCCTCTCACCCTACTGAACAGACCTGGGATTTGGATGGATTTGAGCAGATGACTCTCTATGATCCTCATTCTCCAATGGGCTTCACGACTTTCCTCAAGAAAACAGGTGGACCCGATTTGTGCCTATCCACCGTAACCGTGGATAGACTAGATAGAAAAGAAACAAAACGCTCCAACACCATGCCAGTTCAGGTGCTCTTTCTTCCTGCTTTCTTCCAACCTCAGGTGCTTCTGCGCTACTTGATGTACGCGGCCCGCACGAAGTTCAAAGCACCGGACGGGATTAGCTTGCTCTACAACAGTCCTACGGAGCGAAAGAACGATGAAGAGGCCGCCATTGAAGCTCAGATCGCAAACTCCAACAGTGGTGTTTTTTCTTTCGGCTGATCCTTTTTGTGAGTTGCTTTATTTTGTTGCTTTCATGCCCATTTTTATTTTGGTGAGGACCTCGTTTGAGGGGTTGCGTGGAGGATGTCTACATCAGGGGTGCGATTACTCTTTTCAGGGGTTATATATATATATATAAGTTACTCTCCTGCAGATTAACATGGAACCCCAAAACCACTGGGTTGTAGAGGAAAATTATCTTCCAAGGGTCAATTCTCGGGTTCCATGTTAGTTCGCCGGGGGGTATATATATATATATTGTCATGTTGTTGTAGCATTGGGTCCTATATCATAATCGGTCGACTCGATCATCCTTATCTTCCATTTCTCCAAGACATCGCCCAAACCGTCCTACTGCCAAGAGGCTATATCGATGAACATCATGTTTCTCTGCATGTTTAAGCAATCCAAACATCTTCCACTTCGGGGCTTCGGGGCACCCATCCGGTCCCATCACTCCGACGACGCTTCCGACCGACCGACCGGTCACCGGAGCGACCGAGGTGAAGATCAGCGGAGAGTTCCCGCATCTCCTCTCCGTGCGCACGGGGGAGCGGAAACGTCGCACTGAGCAAGCCATGAACTTCACCTTCGTCTCCATTGGCGCCTTGGAGCTGCGGCTCTTATATATAGATATATTATTATTATATACTATTATTACTATTATTATGATTATAATATACTGTTTTTGTTATTATTATTGTTATTATTTATTTACTTATGTTTATTTTTTAAACTATATGCCAGCAATTACCAGTACCACACAAAGGGTGGTTTGTAGAACCCACTGAAGATGTATGTTCCATCCAAAAACCACCCTTTGGGTGGTGCTGGTATATGATTGTATACAATTAATATATATATGTATATGGTCAGCGCCCCATCGAGGGCCTACGTTTGGATATCTGAATGACATGATCTAGCTCCACAAGTAATTACTACTGGATATGGATACACCGAGTGATATACCTATATATATATTATGTGGAAGTGGAGAACCACCTCTTTGTCAGAGAAAGATGGTCTTCCAGAAGCCTAAGACTGCCAGTTCCATGATTGTTTCAGGGAGGGAGTGTATATGTTAAAGACTGCATACTGTACTCAACTATAGCTTATGTTTTTTTTGTTTTTTTGTGGCGACTTTTCCCCAAAGTGTTCTCCAAAAAGGCAGGCACTGGAATGGCACTGGATGTGTCCAACGTCCCAGTTTGTGAGTTTTCTATTGTTTGGCGTTGGCGGTGGCTTTGTCATTGTTTGGTTGGTTTAGACTTGAGCTTCAAAAGCAAAAGCACATCTTCCTTCTACTGGAAGCGCTACCGAGCGATGCCAAGGTCAAGGCCCCTTGCTGCCGAACGGTGTGGCCACCCGAGCGAAGAAGGAGGATGGCGCGACGGAGGCGCCCAAGCCAGAGAAGCAGAAAGAGGAGAGCTGGGCTCAACAGCACCTGGATGAGGATAGCCGTGGATCATTATGGATCATACGGGTTTCTCCTTTTTCGGACTGAATCAAAGACTGAGACCTTGGGCGAGACAGGGTTTCACCGTTTCGCCATCCTGCTATTTTCGGTGGAGATGGAAGATCAGAAGAGCTGTCCGAGCTTGAGAGTTCGAGGCCATCGCTATTGGGATGGAGACCGTGGCTATTAGGATGGAGACCATTGCTAGTAGGATGGAGCGCCATTGGGACTGAGGCCATCGCTATGAGGATGGAGGTCATGGCTATTAGGTTCCTTACAGTATTTGTCTTAAAGTATTTTTTCTATAAGGGTGTGATACGATATGTTTAATATACTTTTGGCTTTTGCAGGCTGCAGGCTGCGCATGGAGCAGGCCCTTGCTTCACTTCACTTGACCTGGTGCTCTGCTCACACCAGGGTGGTGGGTCGCACTATTCTTATTCGGTTTGGCCGGGAGTCTGGACATGATCCACGAGGTGGTGCTGACCTGGTGGATCCACCTGGTGCTGGGTCTTCACTGTGACCTGCCAAGATCCGGTTTTGGCTTCGGCTTGGGGGTTTTCGAAGGTTGCCGGAAGACCCTCACAAGGATCGACCGCGGAGCGACCGCCGGTCGTCGTCAGACCACGACTCCATGACTCGAGTGTTTGACGAAACAGGAGCCAAAGGAGGTGAAGACCAAGATCAAGAAGCAGGCACTTGGACCCAATTAGGAGACAGCTGGATAAGTTTGCAGATAGAACTTTTACCCTGCCGCCTAAATGAAGATGCGTGTGGAACCTTACTACCGAAGTATTTACTCAGGTGATCACGTAGGAACTGCTCCTTGCCAAAGGTTCTAGCCTTTGCTTGCTCAAGGATGATTGTGGCGCTCTAGACAGCATTCCACTTACTTATTCCAGTGGGGATGATGAGTTATCCAAGTTCGTCATTTACGAGCTGCCTTCATCGCTTGAAAAAGAGAGAGAGAGAGAGAGAGATCATCTGAGTGTCTCGACCTGGTCTGGGAAGAATCCTTTCCTTCCCTCCTCCACCCGTCCATCGCCTAATGACTCTTCACGAAAGAATCCGTCTTCGTGAAGGCAGAGGATGAGAAAGAGCTGCTGGACAAGTGCGTGCAGATCCAAGAGTATCTCATGGAAGTCGAGGCACGACTGTTCTGTTTGTGACGCTTCGCTGGCAGCGTGGGAAGCTTCTCCGCCGTGAGCGGAGCGTGAGGTAAGTCCGTCCGAGGGACGTGAACCAGACTGCAACGGACGTATCAAACATGAGGCCTGTTTGCAATCTGGCCAAGCTCCCGAAAGTCATCACCATTCACTATGTTCCCGTTGGGTAGCCTCAGTTCAACATCTCGGCTTCTCCCCAAACTCCAAGTCAAACAGACATGGTTGGGTTCTGAGTTGGCAGGGTTTCTAGACTCTAGACATCCTGGACCTGGGCAGAGAACCTCTCGAACGCGTCTGGAAGTGGACCCGAGTGTTTCTTGAGGTTCGTGTGACCATTTGCCAGGATGGTCTGCGGAAGGCTTGGGAAGACCAGGTTTGCCCAGGATGGTCTGCGGAGGTACGTACACATAGATGTGTGTGTGTGTGTATTGAGATAGGGAGACGGTCTCCAAAATGAGATAGGGAGACCTCCCCAAAGACCCTCTGGAAGAAGATGGAAGAAGTAACATAGACCAAAACCCATTGGGGGTCTCCCTATGTTAATACTTTTTAATCTACACACCCACCAGGCCAGACAGGAATCTGAACCATCTCCTGCACCACCTTCAGCACCCACTCTTCCGGAGCTCCCCCAGCTGGGCCGATGAGGGCCACCTCGGTGGACCTCTCCGGTTCAGAACCACCTGTCCAACCTGCGCGTGTCGACTCGTCAGTTCCAACGAGACGAGCTGCGAGCTGACGAGCTGCCAGGAAGGGATGGCCGACGCGAAGAAGGAGGGCAAGGACACCAAGGAGACGAAGGGACCATGGCTGGAAAAGCTGGTGCCTTTTGAGGGTGAAGGTCATGATCAGCCTCATTTGGGAAACCGTTCCCAAAAGCTGTGTGAGAGCTTAGAAAAGCAATCTCTTGGCAGGGTATCAACCGCCCTGGTAGATTTTGTGTTGTTGATGGAGATACGCTTGGCCGCCTACTATGCTTCTCGATGTGCTTCTTTGGGTCAGAGTGACTCCGGGAATTCGGACTTTTCGCAGTTCCCTGCTCTGGAAATCCACAAGCATCGAAACCAACAGAAACCCTGGAGAAGGGAAGGGCTCATTCCAAGGGCTTCGTGCAAAGTCGATCGGGCTTATTCCCAGGAAAAGCTCATGGGTTGTAGGGCAGAAGGCCTTCATGAAAGTTCCATCCACTGTTCCGCGAAATATGTACAGATACAGCATGTGTGAGCCATGTTTATCAAATTGACAGCCAGTTGTGCAGGGGGTTTAGTCCTTGTCGATTCCAGCGCACCTAGTTTGCTTTAAACTTTAGCCTTGTCGTTGTTTGGTTCGTCATAGAACTCCGTTGTAGATCTTGAAGGAACATGCTTGATAGGCCGTTCGCTGGTTGAGTTTGGGCTTGATACGCCATTCTCCACATTTTCGCAGGAGGGACCCCTCTTTCTTCTTCAGCCAGGGTGCCATGACAGTGGGTCACCCGTGAAATATCAAAGTATCAAACCCGCTTTGAGTCCAGCAGTGTCCACTTTGCCGATGCACATCGCTTCCATGGAGGATTCTACAAAAACAACTCTTGCCCTCAACTCCTCTTCTTAGATGTCCAGTCAAGGGTTTTGATAACAAGTCTTTATTAGTACATTGTTTTCAAGAACACCTAGGCCTATAGACTCTGGATCCGATACAAACAGAAGGCATCAGAAGGCTGACCATTTCTAGAAGGCTTTTCGATCGTGGAGATGTGTCAGTGGGAATTGGGAGATGATTCCCACTGTGCTTCTTTCACAGCACTGCATCATGGTCACTCGGAAAACCTCTCCTCCTCGAGCCCTGGGAAGCCAGAAGATTTTCAGGAGACGAGGGAAGTCTCCAATGTCCAGAAGTTGATGGAGAACCTCATCAACAATGCGCAAGCGGACAAAGTGCTGAATGAAAAGAAGGCTCTTTGGCCACGAAAACAGACATGCAGATCTTGGAATATGTTCTTTGAGATAAACTGTCCTAAATGATCTCAGACGTCATGCTCAGCCATACCAAAGCCCGCATCTCACCCTCGAGAATAGCCTGACTGCCACCGAGCTGTCCACTCCGCGACTGGGCAGGTGGTCCCACCGGCACCGGCGCCCAAAGCGCCGCCGGCGCCGGCGCCGGCAGCGGCGCCAGCAGCGCCCAGCTCGGTGCCATTCGCGCCGTTCAAGAATGGTCTGGCACAGGTGGAGATCATGTGGGTGTGAACCGATCTGCGCCACCAGTTGGGATGGGGAAACGTGCGGAGTTGTCTTTTGAACTTGTGGCGGCTTTTGTAGTTTGTTTGTGTGCTTTTTTTTTCTGGCTTTTGTGGCTTTTGGCTTGGGCTTTTGGTGGTTCTGTCGCTTTTGATTTCGGAGCTTTTTTTAATGCTTTTGGCTGGCTTGTGTGGCTTTTGGCATCTTTTGGCTGGTTTGGTTTTCAACGGCCTGCTTTTGGTTCTCGTGGATTTCGTTGGATGTCGGTTTTGATCAGATCTCTTTTTGCCTTGCAATTTGCAGCTTGTTGTTGTCTTTGGCACGATGTTTGCTCTTTGGGGGGAGGTGCTTTTCAACCCAACCCCCTCCAACCCCGCTGACTTGGCTCAACCGAAGCCCAAGCAGAACGGGGAAGATGACCCCTCGCCACTGAAGAAATGGCACCGTCGTCGAAGCGGACTACAGTGCTGGAAGCTTCCTGTCCAACATCCTAAAACCCCGATAGGGAGCTATCTAGCAAAACCAACAAGACTCAAAAAATAGAGCAAGACAACATTGCATCCTGTTCTACCACTCCAACTCTCAAACGACCCATTGTCCCGTAACGTGATGAGTGTCGATGTCCGTCCGAAAATGTCGGAACCAAGAGCTTTATGTCGGTAGGTCTTACATTGAGCATTGAAAACCGATGAGGAAAACCCAAGACCGATGCCTTTGTATCATACATACGTACAAACGTACTTACATACTACTACTACTACTACTACGACGACTACTACCACGACGACGACGACGACGACGACGACGACGACGACGACGACGACGAC